GATGGGGACCCAGGGGGACCCAGGCCCAGCCCGTGCCATGTTTGGGGTCGGGGGTCCCTGTGCTGGCTGAGGGACTGGTGCCACGCTCCCACCTGGCAGGTGTCGATGCCGCCCCGCGGGTACCCAGCGCACAGGTCGTGGGGGTGCACGGCCCCCCCGTACCAGCGGCTGCTGTTGCAGAGCTGCACATCGATGAGCCGCACCTTGGCCTCCTGCAGCACCAGGTGTGGTCTGAGAGCTGGAGCACAGAGGGCAATGAGCCCCCGCAGCTCGGGGCTTGGTGCCCTGCCCTGGCTGGGGGCAGCCTTGGAGCAGCGTTGTCCCGCTGTGGCCCTGCTGTTGGCTCTGGGCCAGGGCCAGGCCCCTCTGTGCCGGGGCTCATGTCCTGCAGCCTGACTCTGGCTTTGGCCTCTGCTCTTGGGAAGCCCAGCCTGTGTCACCAAGCTCAGCCCCAGGGCCTGTTTGGGGACTCACCACTATCCAAGGTGGTTCTCCAGCCCGCGATGTAGCAGGTTTTCATCTGTGACACGCTCAGGGGAGTGTCAGGCACACAGCCCAGCTGGATGTAGTCACTGCACTCCACGGGCTCGTCCAGCTCCAGCAGGGCGATGTTGTTCCTTGCCAAGGCAGGTGCATAGTGCTGGTGCACCAGGAGCCTCTGGATGCGGTGCAACTCTGCCTCGGGGCCCAGCTCGGTCAGATCAGTGGCCCCAAGCACCACCTCCCATTTGGAGACATCCCTTGGGGCAGATGGAGAGAGGGCTGAGAGGGAGCAGAGCCAGGGGCTGGGGCAGCCCAGCCCTTCCCTTCCCAGACTGGGCACCTGCCCGAGCTGTGGGGACATCCCTGTCCCTGCCCCTCCTTACCCAACCCCGAAGAAGCAGTGGGCGACCGTGAGGACCCACTTGGGGTGGATGAGGGCCCCTGCACACATGTGCCACGTGCCGTTCTCCCAGCTGGCCTGGATGCTGACGATGCCAGGCCAGGCCCCTGAACGGACAGTGACTCCCCCCATTCCCCCTGCGGTGCCGTCGGAAGACTCCAAGGGTCCATCGGCAGCATCTGCGGGGTCGTAGTCGGGCAGCAGGGAGTTGTGGTCGGAAGCCATGGGCCGGAGCCCGCAGGTCCCTCTGGAAGCACAAAGCCATCACTGCCCTGCCCAGGGGCTGCTCAGGTCCCCTGTT